GTGAACTGACAAGGCCTTTGGTAGCATGTTCTGGTAGGATCCTGCCTTTCCTTCTTTCGATCAAGTTGAACTGCTAGTGACCACTGAAACTTTGCGAATGAAACACATGCCCCCTGCATACTGTACAGGAGTGAGTGAAGAACTATTGCTAGAAAGCCAAAGGAACCTTTATTTCTCAAAATGTGAAGCTCGTCCTCTGTTAAGAGCTATGCACTTCTAAAGGCAGTGTTTCCCTGTCTCTAACCTGTCCCCCCCAAAGTTATGGCTCTTTGATTTATACTTGTCGAACGGGTAGTTCTGGCATCCTTGGGGCTCTCAATTGGTGTTCCTTTTCAGTGTTGAGTTTGGGGAACCAACAGAAGTTAGAAGGGGCAAGATCAGGGCGGTGGATGGGGGGGCTGCGGTAAGGCTTCCCTATGAAAATCCCATAGGACAGCCCTTGCAGGTGCATTGGGATGGAGGACAAAAAAACATCCCCGGTGCAACTTCTCAGGCCTTTTTCTTACAAATGCAGTTCTCAGGTTCCTTACACCTTTTTCACGATAAGGCCCTCTGGTCCTCTGGTATCTGTGGCAGGGGGCTATATCTATCAAGATGCCCTTTTAGAATTCTTAAACCCATTGTCATGCTGACCTTTCTGCTTGACTTTGACCCAGAAGATTGCCTCAGAAGTCACTGCCCCTTCTTTTTGGAGGCACCCTAATAAGACTAAAACACGTGTATCACCGAGGACTTCTCTACACACACCCACGTGTGGCCGAGACATGTTTAAACATGTTTAATTAGGAATAAACCTGTGCATGTATGAACCGAATCTTACCAACGATACGTTTTGACTTTCTCTCGCACACTGATCCCAGCCGACAAATCCAAGCCAAAGGATTTCCATTAAAATGAGAAAAGAATGCTGTGGTCAGAATATCACGGTCATGGAAAATATGACAGTGGGATTGATCTGATTCAATCTGCTTTCCCAGACATCTCTGAAACTTTCTCAGGTCAATCCTTCCTTTCTTACTTACTTCCTCCTAATCTTTCTTAATACATTTCTACTTCTACCAGTAGAAACTGCAGGATTTTATACTTCCTCTTAGGAAGACATGATAGAATTCTATATAGCCAAAACAAACCACAGACACACACACACTGTGTAAGCAATCTCGCTTTATTTTCTTTGTCTTTTGTTTCTAGGGATTTATTGCCTTCTACTGTACCTTCCACTGATCCAAGGCAGTATTGTGTTCCTTCCCAGTTTGGATCCTCAGTTATACCTAATGCAAATATGCCCAATGTGCTGTCCAGTCATGTCTACTCAGGTAGGAGCAATGGATGTGTGGTTCTTGTATGCAGAGCCAGTGGTTGGCTGCCTTTAAGTTTTCTGGGAAAATTTGAAAGCATAACTGTATGGTGATTGTTTCTGCAGTTGCTCCCTGAACTCAAAACATGGTGGGTAAGTAGCGTAACACAATGAATCGCAGTATCGCTACCTGTGCATCTTACCCCGTTGGTGTTCGTCCCGATGGGTCATAATGAGGACTTCAGCTTGTATTCTGATAAGAAGGGAAGCCTACAGGGAGTTTGAGAGACCTGGTCTGACTTGCATTTTACTAGGCTATTGGGAAATTGGGTCACAAAAGGCTTGGTGATATGCTCCGGCAAAGATGACAACCAAGCAAAGCTGACAGAGTTAAGTTCTACTCTGTGACACTTGGGGTCCCGGGATTTGGACGTGTCCCAACGGCGACCAGGTATGGGTTTTGTGGTTAGTCTCTCTTGAGCACACTCTGGTCATGGTTTTCACTGACTTCAATCTACTGAAATGGTTTTAATGAACATCCCACACAGGCAAGGCTGGAGATACATTCTCAGTCCTGTCTTCCTAAAGGAAGCCTGGTGGCTTACTGGGTTATGCATTGGTCAGCCACAAGCCCC